GAGGCATATCCTTCTCTCTATTTTACATCTTTATTAAAAATCATATGCATAAATGTGATGAGAATTTCATTGATTTATGAAATCAAGAAAATAGGAAATTTAGAAATATTTTTACACATGGGGAGATAAAGACAGTGAATCTCAATCACAAATCTATGATAGCTAATAATATGGTTGAAAGGCTAAGACCAATACTCGCTCCAAGCCATTGATACCCATGATATGTGGTCGTAATTTGATCTAACACCTAGGCCAACTCAAAATCCTACCTCCCTCTTTATATAAGCTCTCTAACACTAAAGCCCTCGACACTTAACTTCTAGACCTCAATGTGTGGCTTCTCTAAGAGTTTGAGGGAGATTTTTTGAGAGAGAGAGAGAAAGATAGAGAGAAACATGTAGAAACACGGCCCCCTTTCTGTACCTCGGTAAGTCTGCCCTACGGCGCATGGTATGGATGCCTACTCATGAGGACCAAAGGAACCATTGGTAGTGATCTAAGTCCTTCTTCGTTGCTGTTCATTGCTCATTTACAGCAAGATAATCTTCATTTTGGTCCCCTCTTTCATGAACTAATACTTGCACCTTTCATGCCTCTTGGTTCCCACATATACTAGTACAAGCATAGTTCATTTAGAGCTCATTTTGATTTAGAATAACACAGTTGAATTTCCTACATCATTCACTGATATAATAGCCAAGGTTTTAGTCTTCTCTTGATCTTAAAATCTTCATTTTAAAAGGTGTTACTATGCCAAAATTTCCTCCCACACGATGTTGAGTTTTCGTAATCCATATACCTTGTTTGTGAGTTATGCTCCTCTCTCTCACTTGTTGCTGGCATGCGAACCATCATAACTTTTTGAAGTATTTTTCTCGATCGTGTTTGAGTTTTACCTACATGCTACATGCTTTCTATCATTTAGATTAAAATTGAACCAAGTTCTCTTGCTATCATATTGGGTTATCATATGGTTATATCTAAGACCTTAATCGGCATAAAATTGACCCACCATTCAGCTTCCCATGACATCCGAGAGTAAGTGCACGATTTGGTTATGTCTTTGTAATTCAAGATTGGCCTATTTATGTGCTTCATGGTTATGTAATTTATATATTTGAAATCCTTTATTATGTGGACTGATTTCATGTGTAATTTGATTAATGTTATGTTTAGTTTAAGCCAATCTCTAAGCTAAGTTGAGTATGGAGTGGAACAAGTAGTGGACCAATTCAGGAGCTGTATTGTGTGTTGCTGTAAATTCAGATTAATGGATGTATTTTGTGAGATTGAGTTAAAAAATTTAAATTGTATTACATTGAACTCAATCTCGTTACATTCCACCATGTTTTTCTACTTTCTCAACTCATTCAAAGATGAAATAAACATATTTTTAAGGACTTGTTTGATAACCGTGAAAGGTGGAAAAGTTTGTGATTTTCCCACCCTTTCTCGATCAAGCAGCCTGTCACCTGTTTGTTTGAGTGAAACTGCCCAAAAATTTCTCCACGGCCTTCCCATCATTCCCCCAGCCGGGTAAGTCGAAAACCACAGGGAAAGTTTGCCCATGCATTTAATACCTCAACAGTTTGAACATAAATTAAAAGCCTTTTTCAAAGTTTTTCACTTTTAAACATGTGATCCTACAATACCCTCCCACACCTATATGTAGGACCTCAAATTAAATTTGGTATAGATATCTAAAAACGTTATCACTGGACGTAGGATTTGATTTTTTTAGAGATATGTATCAAATTTAATGGTGATCCTTTAGAGTTTTACGTGAGTGTGGGGATCCATTTCCCTAAATTCATATGCTTTTAACCTTTTTTTTTTCTGAATGGCCTCTAGTCTTTTCGTCTCTCCTCCCAAATACATATGCTTTTAAACGAAACGGTCTACTAAACTTGGATAGACCCTCAGGCAAGCCTCTCTATCTCTCTTGTTAACTTTTTTTTTTCCTTCTAAGTACCCTCTAGTCTTTTTGTCTCTCCTCCCAAGAGTCTACTCTCTTTCTCTATATATCATTTCCCTAACAGTGATTTCATGCAACGATTGTATCATAGTATAATGTAACAATATTTAAAAACCATGTTATGATCATTTGTTTGATTCAAATTTTAAAATATACACTCTTTTCACTTTAATAAACAATCATAAAAAAAAAAAAAATTTGAAAACACATTCTAAAAGGTAATTGCTTAGCCTAATTAACATAGGGCATCTATTTTGATAAGATGCTTAGATCTAGGCCTTAGAAGGATTTTTTCTTTTCTAATTTTTTTAGATGGCTTTAGATGAATAATGTTAAAAAAGAATAAAATGATTTTGAGTTTGTAAAGGCTAAGATCTTTAAATTCACAAAATGAACAGTCTGGATTCGTTGTTGGAGGGGATTCATTTTGAGCATATCTAGTGTCCAAATTAAATTTTTTTTTTTTAGGGTTGATTATTGAGATGAAGAGAGTGTATGTACAAAATTTTGAATCATACAAATGCCACAAACATGATTTTATAGATGTGTGGTTATATTATATTATGATACAAACGTTGCATTAGATCACTTTGCTCATATATTTTGAAATACCACAAACGGTTGTATCATAGTATAATGCAACAATCTTCAAAAACCATGTTAGGACCATTTGTTTGATCCAAATTTTGAATATACACTCTTTTCATTCTAATGAACAATCACACAAAAGAAAATTTTGAAATTGGAACTTAGAAAGTAGTTTTTTAGCCCAATTAACATATGCCGTCCATTTTAATAAGATGCTTAGATCTAGACCTTAAAAGGATTTTTTCTTTTCCATTTTTTTAGATGGCTTTATTATCATTAGATGAACAATGTTAAAAAAAAAAAAAAATTGATTTTGAACTTGTAACTACTAAGAAATTGAAATTCACTAAATGAATGGTCTAGATTAGTTGTTGGAGGGGACAAGTTTTAACCGTAACTAAAGTTCAAAGTGAACTTTTGTTTTTTTGGGATTGATTATTGAGATAAAGAGTATGTGTGCAACATATTACTATACATCTTATAGCCATTTGTTTGATCCAAATTTTGAAAAATGATTTGTGCAACATATGACCATCTCATGCAACCGTTGTATACTAATATGGTGCAACAACCTTAAAAAACCATCTTATGGTCATTTGTTTGATACAAAATTTGAAATATATACTCTTTTCACAAAAAAAGAAAAAATTGAAAACGCAACCTATAAGGCATTTTTTTAATCCAATTAACATAGGTCGTTCATTTTGGTGAGATGCTTAGATCTAAACTTTAGAATAATTTTTTTTGTTTTGGATGACTTTATTATCATTAGATGAACAATGTTTAAAAAGAAAAAATGATTTTGAATTTATAAAAACTAAGATCTTAAAATTCACAAAATGAATGATCTAGATTCGTTTTTGGAAGGGACTCATTTTGACCATATCTAGAGTTCAAATTGATATTTTTTTGGATTGATTATTGAGATGAAGAGAGTGTGTGCAAAATTTGAAATCATACAGATACCATAAACATGATTTTTTAGAAGTGTCGTTGCAGTATACTATAATGCAACCGTTGCATTGGATCATTCCTCATTCATATATATATATATATATATATATATATATATATATATGATAACACTACGCAACGCCTATAGGAGAAAATGAACAGTAATTTCGCATATACTCATCACCGTCCAAAGTTCATCGTACAATCACATATGTCCGATAGTGTTTCAAATTTCATTTTTTTTTTCTACAAATCGAAATGATTTGAAATTTGGAGCGTGTGTTTATCAAAAATAGAAGAATCTAATTAAAATATAAAAAATAATAATTCATAAAATATAAAATAACCAAAATACCTCTGAAAATTTAAAAGAGAGATTTTGGCATAACTAGTAAAAATATAAAATATTGGTAGTTAGTCAAACGAGCACGAAAGGATAAATATCAGAAAACTACATAATCTCAATAAATGAGATGCCAACCATGTCTTTATTAAACTTATGAAATATCAATATTTAAATTCTATTTTGTCAAACATAATTTATTTTTATTGTGAGACAAATTTCACCAAAATATTTAAACTATCTATTCTACTGTTGAACCCACTTTTCTTTAGGGAAGTTCTGTGCGCAAAAAATGCAGGGTTTACTTGCATCGACACGATGGATATTTTGTTAGGCCGCTCTAAAGGCCGACCATTAGAATCCCTGCACAATAACACCTTTTCATAGTGAAATTATTAAGAATCTTAATCGCAATTTTTTCATGCATAACCACGAGTTCTCGCTTTATAATCAGACAGCTTAAGATTAATTGAAAGAATGACCCATGAATTATAATCTGACAGCTTAAAACTAAATGCATCCACTGTTAGGGAATGAAAATCCATGGCTACTCAAACAATTACAAAGAGCAGTCTGATGGAGGACAATGAACAAGAAGAGAGGCAACACGGTAACCTACTAATGTGTGGAAAATAGTTGGGGAGCTTGTAAGCCAAAGTCCATAGCCACCTCTGCATGAATTAGATCAAAACAGTAAGGATATAAATCAAAAGTTATAGAAATCAAAAGTTACTCTATCTTACATCAAAGCAGTTTCATCTTAACCCTAAGTGGACTGTAATTTGGGCCGTCCATTTCAAAGCTTGCATCACAATTATAGATTAAAAATAAAAAGAAACCCGGAAAATACACTACGGTCCCGATTTTGACAAATGATGAAAGTACCTTCCATTTCGCAATATGCTCTTTTGATGGCCATTTTTAGGCCTCCAGAAGCATTTTTTTAAAAAAAAAAAAATTGGGTTCGACAACTGGTAGAGTGCGCTAAGATGTCACAAGCCTCGATTCTCAATTATGTTTGCAAAGTAGAACATCTTACAATCACCTACATCAATGTCCTCTACTTCCTTGTTTTTTTTCTTTTTTTTTCCTTATTTTTTTCATTTTCTTTCAGGTTTTATGGTAACAAGTACAAAAGCATTACAAAACACACCATTTCTTATAGTCAAAGAAAATAAGTTTATAAACAAACACAAACCCAAGTACAATCATATGTACACACACTGTCTATCTGTCTCCCATAAATGAACACAAGCACACATTTACACATGAATATTGAAGGCAAGGGAAAGCTTAGTGAGTCTCATGAGTGAGACTATTGCTTAGGAAGGCCATAGCCAGTGCACTAGAAAGCATTATTCCACAGCACACCCACACTAACCATCCCATGCTTGGAGGGACAATCACCCACAAATGCAACAAAAATGCCAATGTCAAGGACACAATAGATGCAAGAGTAGTCTTTTTAAGGGCACCCCATTTCTCAAATGCCTCAGGTATTGAGGAATGCAATATCAAAAGGCAATAAAGTAAGGCCATGTCCAAGAAAGTCATTACAAAGAAGAAATTGATCCAAGGCTTGTTAGCTGCCCTAGAAGCTTCTAACTGTGCATTGTAGCCAAAGAAGGCTAGACCCACCACAGAAACCATCACCAAGGAAAAATTAGGTCGAGAAATCCTAATTGCTCTTGGGGTTGCCAACCTTTGATCTTCATTGTCCATTGTCTTCTTCTCTTTTCCTTGAGGATTATATTGTGTCCTTTTCTACAGTATTGTCCTTTCTTTTGTATAGTACTCTTCCCTCGTTTCTCCTGCAATATCTTGTGTTTGGTATAGTGTCTTTTCCATCGTAAGGATATGGAGCTCTTTTTGTGTGCCTCTTTGCATTTATAGGGAGTTATTCCTTTGTGCCTAAGTAATTAGAACACTTGTTCAGCAAGTCAAGAAGACGTCAAAAGAGTAAAAAATTTATTTATTTATTCTTCTAATTGTTCTATAGAGTCAAATTATTGTTGGACGAAGGAAACAGGATTTCGTAGGCCTCAGGTTAGGTTTAAGATTTCGTGTGCTCGCTAGAGCATTTTCGATTTTGCTTGTATGGGTGAAGCCTAATTTAGAAGTATTTTTAGGATGCAAAATTTATGATTTGATGTCAAAACATTAAATGGGGCCTCCCCAATTATTGAACTATTAAATCCAAGGTCTAAGAACTAAAAAAATAAAGATTTTTTCTTCATTCTGAATATTGACCATCTAATTTCCTAAGTGAATCCTAATATTTTAACGAAAAGGCTAAAATAAGGCCAAGGTTTTATATAAATAAGGAAAAAGTTAAAACGAACCAAGGTTCTAGACAATCAAATTAAAGCCCGTCTTAAAAATTCCACTAAAAGAGGTTGTTTAGATGCTAAAATTGATCATCTTGACATCAAGATGCACAAACATGAGAAAAAAAAGGATTTCAAGTTTCAAAAAATAGTGCATCTTGTAAAGCATTTTTGGACTGTCAATTTTCAAGATTTCTAAGTTTTATATATTTTAAGACTATCACAAATATTTTCAATATTGGAACCACATTTTTAGACACTATTTGAAGGTGGGCTTTACTTAAATTGTTTAAAGCCTCTGCTCTATTCAAATCACACCCCCAATAAGTAAAGCCTCATCACAAAACTCACCGAAAATTACAGTTCCGGAGTCAGAAAACCTTGATAATCTTGACCTTGATCATTTTTGTAGTGAACAAAAAAAAAAGGATTTAATTTTGAATTCTAATTTTTCTTGGAATTGTTTGATTTTGGATTTTAATTTCCTTTGGAATTATTTGATTTTAATTTTTATAAACTTTTATATACTCAAATGAATTGCTTATAATAATATTCCTTTAGTATTGGCTTTATGATACACGTATCAGTTCTAGTGTGGGAGTACGGGGTTTAAATCCTTAAAGTTGGTACCAAATCACCAAGTTGATCTATATTCTTCTTCTTTCTTTTCTCTCTCTTTTTTTTATATTTTTATATTTTTTAATTTTATTTTTTAAATTTTTTTCATGAATAGGCTCAAGGCTACCTAGCCAGGGTGGTGGAACGCCAGAGTAAAAAAAAAAAAATCGGCTCAAAGGGAAAATATCCACTCTTATTTGATCCAATTTTATTAGGGAAAAAGATGTATAACCCCCATCTCCAAAATCATAATACCAAATAACCTCATGATCTATGAAAAGACCTTAGCCGGAGATCAACCAAAAAGAAAATGTGTCACCGGAGATCCGTCAAAAATAGGCACCAAAAAAAAATCTGAAAAACCCAGATCTGAGATCACCTCCCTCTGAAAAATAACCTCAAGGTCTATGAAAAGCCCTTAGCTGGAGATCTACCAGAAAACAGTGTGTCACCGGAGATCTCTCAAAAAAAAAAATCTAAAAAACCCAGATCTGAGATCACCAACCTCTGAAAATCCGTTCTGAACCCTTTGCCTCCGAATCGTGCTGTCTGTGATCTCGTTCCCAAGGTACAAGAGAGACTGAAAAACCCAAAACCTGTCGGATCTGAGATCACCTCAGCCGTTACTTCGTTCTTGTTCAAATCTGAAATCGCCTCCTTGAAATTCACTCCGTGTCCCTGATCTTTTTCATCCTCCTTCGAATCTGACGCTCGTCATCCAGATCTGAAATTCTCTCGGTTAGTGCATTTTTTAGCTCAAGTCGCTCTCTCTCCTAGTTTCTCAGTCGTTTCTCTAGTCCGGATCTGAAGCTCCCTCTACCATTGTTTTCTTGGCTTCTCCAATTTGAAGCTCGCATGAACCAGAATGTTCGAGGGACCTGCTTCCTTTTGCCCATCCTCCTACTTCTAAGACAATCGTCTCTCGACCTTTTCATTTTTTTCTCTTTAGTTTATATACGGTTGCAACTTTAAAATATAAAATTACATATACACCTCAAAAAAAAAAAAAATCTATGAGAGCAGAGTTCTTTTAAAAATGTCTTGATATCGAAATGTATTAATATAAAAACAAAAAAAAAGGGTTTTGAGTTTAGAAATAGTAGATTTTGTAATACATTACCTAGAACGTCCATTTTCAAGATTTTTATATTTTTATGGATCTCTTTGATTTTAATCATTTTTAGAGTTTTACACTTTCTAATTAAATATGAAAATAGATTTTAAGATAATTCTAATAATTTTCTACCACAAAATTACATGTTATGATAAAATTTGAAAGTTTGCCTTCATTGGATGGCTTGACGTTGTAACCTTATAAAAACCGCACCTTTATTTTTATTTTTTTTTGGTGGCAAAAAGTCAAGATTGTCATCATTAAATGGGTGCAGTTTGTATAGATCCTAGGCTCTAACAATCAAATTAGAGCCTACTTTCAAATAGTATCAAAAAATGTGGTTTTAATACGAAAATCTTTGTGATAGCCATAAAATATATTTTCATCTTTATTTATAATGTTTAAAGCTTAAAACATGGTGTAGATGGACAGATCTATGAAAATTTGAAAATCATGAAAATTGATGGTCAAAATATGCATTACAAAATATACTATTTCCAAAACTTGAAATCAATTTTTTTCTCATGTCCATGCATCTTGATGTCGAGATGATCAGTTTGAGGATATTTGGGCATCAAAAAAATCTTGTTTAGTGAAATTCTTGAGGTAGGCTTGAATGTGATTGTTTAGACTTTTTCCTTAAATAAAGCGTGCGGTTTGTATAGAGTCAAGGCTCTAAACAATCAAAGTAGAGCGTACCTTCAAATAGTATTGAGAAATGTGGTTTCCATTTAGAAATCTTTATGATAGTCTTAAAATATATTTTTATCTCAAATTATAAAATTTAAATCTTCAAAAAATAGTGTAGATCAAGCACATCTATGAAAACTTGAAAATCTTGAAAATTGACAATAAAAAAATATATTACAAGATGCACTATTTCCAAAACTTGAAATCCATTTTTTTAATGTCCGTGCATCTTCATGTAAAGATGATTAATTTGAGGATATTTGGTCATCAAAAACCCTCTTCTAGTGAAATTTTTGGGGTAGGCTCGGATTTGATGGTATAGAGAGCCTAGGCTCTAGATAAACTTTTTCCTTAAATAAAAAAAAAGAAAATAAAAATGGGGGAGTGCATAAAGAAATAGAGAGGGGTGGCGTATAAAAGGTTGGGGAGTGGCCCTCTAAAGTACTGATCGAGTTTTCCATTACTCTGATCCTATTTGATGAATATGTTTTTCTTACTTGATCTTGATATTTCTGTAGTATCAAAGTTTTCTGCTACTTGATCATGTTATTTTTGATGATCTAGTAATCCACAGTGTAGGAAAACTCGGGCGATTCAAATTCTTACTGCCTAGTTACACCCGGTTAGATCAAAACCGGCAATTGGCTAATTCTGATTTCAACTGGTTTTGGTGAACCGGCTGGTATTTTAAAAAAAAATTCAAAAAAATATAAAATCCCAAAACATAGGGGATTTTGTTTGTAATGCATTTTTTAAAACTAGTTTTCATCATTTTGGCAAAATTTGGAAATTGTTTTCTTGATTAATACTTATTTTTACACTTTCCCATCTTTTTTAAAAATTTGAAAAATACCCCTGGATACAAATCGATTCTTTAAAATATGTTTTTTTCATTAATTTTTAATTCTATTTGAGTGTGCTTTGTTTTCTCATGCTTTAAATATATATTTTATATTTTATTAATTTTTTTTCATTTTTGTAACATTTTTGTGACTGCTTGGGACTTGCCAGATAGGATGGTTGAATTGCTTCTGGTCCTATGTTCAGTTAACCGTTCCGGTTCAATTTTTTTCTATACTGGTTTTCCATTACTCGATCATATTTGAAGATCAAGTTTTTTGTTACTTGATCGTATTTGATGATCGACTCTTCCGTTACTCAATCATGTTTTGATCAATTTTTTCGTTACTAGATCTGAAATGCAGTTTTATGATTGTAATGCCACAAATTATTGTTTTAGTGAAATTCTATCTCCACTGAACGTACACTTTTAGTGAAATTTTATCTTTAATGCTTATGTTCTTTTAAATTCAATATCATTGTAAATATATTTTTTTTCTTTTATTCTAGGTTTGGCTGATACATACTCTTTTAATCTATAATATTTCATAAATAAATTATTTTTGCCAGTAGAAACTAATTCATGTTTGTCAAATGTATTTTTCAATAAGAAGTATTTTGTATGAACGATGGTAACTTCATGAACTACCCCTTTACACACTGTCAATATACATGATGATCAGTTTTCATGTTAAATTGTCAGGTTCATTTTTTACTATTTACTTATTAAAACAGTTAAACCATGACACAATCAAGAGAAGACCCTGCATGGCAACATAGGATCAGACATGATCCCAACAAAAAAGATAAAATTGTTTAATTACTGCAAAAAAAGAAAAAGTGATAAATAGTGGCGTATATAGGTTCAAACAACATTTGACAGGGGTTAAGAGATATGTTTATGTGTGCCCGAATGTCCCTAGCAATGTAAGAAAACAAATGGCGACCATTATCAAGGTTAACAAGGGGATGAATGAGGAGATAATTGACTTATATACGCTCCATCCATGATAATTCTGAGTTTTTACTTTTTTGTGATGTAAATTTAATAGTTAACAATAATTCATACAGGGAAAGAACATCTCAATATTCACATATTGATGCAAAAAAATGAAAGTTATTAATATAATACCTTCATTTTTTATTGGATTCCTAAAAAATAACATTTATCATGATTTTTTAATTTTTTTTTGATTTTTTTAAAGTCGAATCAAAAGGAGTTGGCCGATTCTTGATCCAAACCACCGATTTACCGATTCGGATCGGTTTTCAAAGTGCCCGATTCAGGGTATCGATCATTTTTTTTTAAACCCCTGATTCTAAGACAGTTCGCGGTGAACTTTTGACAAGGCAAATTACCGAATTACATATAGGTGGAGTGATTGCAAACGACATATCGTGGCCACCAATTGAAAAGGAATTCCTTTCCCGTTCTTGGTTCTTTTGGATTAATGCTGAAAGATTTCATGTTCTGTGGGCGTATACTGTTTATTTTCTTTTTCGAGTAAAAGCCGATCTACGTGCAGGACTATAAATTTTGGAGATCTGACCTCTTTAACCTATAGACTAACGACAATATCAAAAATTTCCAAATCCCACTCGCTAATGCACATGCAAAGAATAATTTCTGTTTTAAAAGTAATCATCTAACGATTATCGGTGTTCCCAAAATTTCATCTTGAAAAAAAAAAAAAAATAACTCTCAAGTAATTTCATGAGTGCACCAATGTTGACGTAGATTTTCATTTTGTTCGACAAACATATTTAAATGAAAAACTCTCTCTGTCATATATCTAATCTTCCAGACAACTTGATGACTTCTTTACGAAATCCTGTAATGCTTTTTGTTTTTCAAGTATCGGTTTCAAACTCTCAATGGTTTGCTTCCGACCTTCACCAGTTTGAGAGTAAGTATGAAACTGTATATATATATATATTATTTACTTTATAGATAAGATAATTTTTTATTGAGAATACAAGTGTATACATGCATGCAACTTTGTGTAACCCTATAAGACTGGTTCTTTTACCCTAGATATATACAGAAATACAATTTGCTCACAAATACCGAAAAAGATATATTTTCTCCCAGTTCACAGTTCACACACACGCATACACACATGCATGCACAAATGAGTTCATACAAACCTCTCTCTACAATATATACCCCTCTCTATCGTACCTCCTGCTTGGCCAGTTCATCAACGTCTCCATGCGCTTTGCGTCTCTCTTCCCATACTTATAAAAATTCCTTAAAAAATATATATGATCATCGAGTCGACTCGACTCGCCCTTAGTGAGACTCTTGAGAGAGGCTCTTGCTGAGGAAAACCATAGCTGATCCACTAGAAAGAGTTATCCCTAATGCAACCCACACTAACCACCCCATGCTTGGAGGCAAACTGATCCACAAATATAACAAAAATGCCAATGTCAAGGTCACAACACATGCAAGAATGGTTCTTTTAAGGGAAGCCCATTTCTCAAAGGCCTCAGGCATTGAGGAATGCAACATCAAGAGGCAATCAAGCAAGGCCATGTCCAAAAATGTAATGATAAAGAAAATATTGATCCATGGCCTGTTACCTGCCCTTGAAGCTGCTAAGCTTGCATTGTAACCAAACAAGGTTAAGCCCACAGCTGAGATAATCACCAAGGGTAAATCAAATTGAAAAGAATTAACAGCCCTTGAGACTCCTAACCTCTTATGTTGAGTTTCCATTTTGCTCCCTCTTTTCCTTCAGTTTCATATATTGTTTTATATCGGGCAAGATAGACTATATATTTAGTGTAATTTCAAGGAGCTTGGTAACCTTGTCGTGTTGACAGGGGTTGCTTGTTTTCAAAGTAACAATCTTTAATAATGGTCAAAATGATTTTTGAAACGTCATTGACTTAGTGCAAAGACTCGGAAAAAGAAAAAAAAAAAGGGTGCAGTTTGTATAAGGCTGAGATTCTAAACAATTAAAATAAGGTGCACTTTCAAATGGTGTCGAGAAATGTGGTTTCAATACCGGAAATTTTTTTAATAGCCTTGAAATTTAATTTTTAGTTATAATTATAAAATTTAAAGCTACAAAAATAGTCTAGATTGGGAATATCTATAAAAACTTGAAAATCTTGAAAATTGACGGTCCAAAAATGCATTACAAGATACACTATTTCCCAAAACTTGAAATCCTTTTTTTTCCATGTCCATGCATCTTGACGTCGAGACGATCAATTTGAGGACATTTGAGCATCAAAACAACCTCTTCTAGTAAAATTTTTGAGGTGGGCTCTAATTTGATTGTTT